ACACACACACACACACACACACACACATATATATATATATACTATATACTATATACTATATATATATATATATATATATATATATATATATATATATATATATATATCTGTACAGTGTATCGCAAATTTTCGTATCTGCTCGTGATTTCAAGTATAAGCACTGTGGTGAGCCACACACAGTTTAGAAGCTGGAGGTCGTTGCATAGCAATGAAACGGCCGCACTCCGCAACACAGTAGCGGCAATCACACGAGCATGCGCTTAGCCAAGACATCTATGCATACCCACACACATAACACAATCCGTTTAAGCCGTTAGATCCGCTGTTGCCATAGAATACAATAGATGGACATACGTTTCATACAGCATGCGGAGCACACCACACACCCGTGACAGTACACTATGCTCCCGCAAAAGGCCAGAGACTCCAATGGATTATACTGCAGCAGAACCCATCGAGTCCGTATGCGCACACACGCGAGCATTTGCGCGTACTTACTTTGACAATCACTACATGCCATATATATCACTTCAAAATTCACCCTCTGCATTTCAATAGAACAAGACGGTAACGATCCTCAGACATTACATTGCATATAGCGTTTTAAGTAGAATACGCACCCTCGAACGATTTCGAAGTCCCCGTGCCAGAGTCGGTCAGAGGCTCCAACGGATTCCACTGCAGCAACGCCAGCCGCACAAACGGTGCAAAGATATGGGGCGCACACTCAGACACATAAGCGTCTCGATACGCCAAGGGGTGCACGTTCTTCCAGTGCTGCAGTTTGTTCTGTATTTGGGGGCAAGGGTGTGTTGATTAGATTTGTTAAGCTATCCAGTGCTGCAGGTTGTTCTGTATTTGAGGAGAGGGGTGTGTTGATTGGATGTGATATGCAATCCAGTGCTGCAGGTTGTTCGGTATTTAAGGGGAGGGGTGTGTTGATTAGATGTGATATGCAATCCAGTGCTGCAGGTTGTTCGGTACTTAAGGGGAGGGGTGTGTTGATTAGATATGTTATGCTATCTAGTGCTGCAGGTTGTTCTGTATTTAAGGGGATGGGTGTGTTGATTAGATGTGTTATACTATCCAGTGCTGCAGGCTGTTCGGTATTTGAGGAGAGGGGTGTGTTGATTGGATGTGTTCTGCTATCCAGTGCTGCAGGTTGTTCGGTATTTGAGGAGAGGGGTGTGTTGATTGGATGTGTTATGCTATCCAGTGCTGG